CAATCTACGAATCCTTTTGACCCGCCTTCTCAAACGAAATGAGAGGTACGCTGTTAAGGGATTCTTCGAAACACATCTTTTCTTCATATCTCAGAATGTATGTGTGTGTTCGCATACACATTTACTCCCCTGTCAGAAAACCCATCATGAGGATGCGTTTGCGATGTCATGCTGTGTCGTTCGACTCCTTTCGACTGCTTCTTATCGGCCTCCTTTTGCCAATCGATCGCTTCGCTGCAGCAATCACTCCGCTCTATTGCCTTTCAACCCTAGCAACGTCTGTGGTGGCCGAGGAACAACACAAATGTTGCTTATTCCTCGCCATCTGTCCGACCCTCTCACCTCACCTACAAAGTCACTGGCCTATTTTCGCTTGATCATTTGGTTGCTATCCTTTTTATCTTGCCGTCTATCCTTTCTTGTGTTTAAATACTCTAACCAATGTGTATGTACGCGTGACCAAGAGTTTACTTGTTCATTTATCTATTTGGTTGCGTATTTATTTTCATATATGAATTTCTATGCGAGTGTGAGTAGAGGTGTTTTATTATGGCTTTGGCGTGTTGGAAACTACAAGCGTATATATGCACAGTATCCTACTTGCACCAACTTTATGCATAGTTGTGAAAGTGTATGCCTGTATAGAAATGTGAAATATTCATACAGATTTCCAAGCGGATGAATCATTATGAGTATAAAAGAAAATGAGGGACAAAAGTCGGAAGAAAATGAAAATGAAACATATATGTATACATACACATGCATATATATGCTTATATGAACTGCTAAATCAATCTATCGTAGAAAAACAGGAAGGCGTCCACAAAAATATGTGGGCGATGGACGGGTTTCATATAATGTTAGAAGATTATGAAGCGAGTAAAATGCTCGCACGAATTGTCGGGACGCTAACTTGGTGAGTCATTAAGTTGACAAAGGAAAGGGTTACACGAGCTTGGATACATAAATACATACAACTACACAAGTACAGTAAGGCACACATGTGTGTGTTTCTGTGCTTTAATTTATTGTTGCGTACGTTATTGCTTGATTTTGCAAATGGCACAATGATACTGGGATGTTGAGATGTTATGTCGGCTCTTTCAGACCTTGCCAAAGGTTCACTCTATACTTTCTTTATTATCTTTTTAACGGCCAGTCTGAGTGGGTAATCGCTTTTCTTGGTTGGTATGGCCTTTGGTTTTTGCTTTAAACAAACGCGACTAATTGAGCATGGATGGGAGTGTTCCAGTTGCTTCAGGGCTCCAGTGAACATATTCCAAGTGAAGTGGTCTAAAACTTGATGGTATTATTTTGAATCTTATTTTGGCTGCTGAAACTGATTCTGCGACCGTCGGATGCAAGCAAACTGGGTCTAAGAGGAGGGAATGTGTTCTTACAGTATCCCAGCTTTTGACAGGGTCTTCAGTCAAATCGTGATTTTTGGTTTGCCGTCAAAATGAAACTGACTTGTTATTACATTTTCATTTTGACCACTTTTAAATGGGAGGTACGTGGTCGCCTCAGAAGTGGGGATGATTTTCCATTCTCGTATCTACTCGATGGTCGCATTTTCTTTAGCCACATTTTTATGGAAGCAAATTGTATTCGGTATTGGCATCAGCTCTTCTCCAGTGGAAGAATGTTGTAAAATACAGTGTAGCATCGCGATGCTTTTTCTCAGATTTTCTGTATCTGAGCCCAGGTTCCCACAACTTGCCGCGATGTTCTGGTCCTTAGCTTTGCCAGAAGAAAAAGACCGAGAATTTGGACACTTGTTTACAACAAAGAGGATGTACCGGTAGATTAGACGCAAAGGTAAACGGGACTAGAGAGCAAGCGGTCTCGATCTTAAAGTTAGGCCAGGTGCACTGACTTGCGAAAAGGTAGAGGATTTTTCCAAGTGGTGGGAGATAGCTGTGTCCATGGTGTAACCAAACTGACAGTTTTAGTAGGTAAGGGTAGGGATTGATCATTACAAATGTGCCACTTTCCATTTTCTGGTTATTGTCTCATTGGTTTCTTCGAGTTAGAAGTTGCCAACAATATTTATAAAAGTTTTCGAATATTTTTAATCCCTATTATAATGCAAGCATTTTACTTATTTTTTATTCCTTTCGTCATTCCATTAAGTTTTTTGTATTCTTTTCGATTTAAAACGTTTTTCTAATAGTGGTTTTTTTAATACTGGGCTTGGCATGAACAACTCTTTGTTATATATCACTTGTGTTTTATTATTCCTACATTACCTTGGAATCGAAGCTTATTCTACGTATTACTGTTGAGAATATATCTTCAACCTGTTTCTCGCATTGAGAGGCTGCATCTATCCTTGGCTTCATCATCTTAGGCCAACTTAAAAGCACACAGCGATGTGGTAATTTATTTGGGGATATAGCTGCTTTGTTTTGTAATTTTATGACAGTTAATTCACAGGTGCGTGTTTGCAATTGGATAATTATGATAAATTACCATAAAGCAGGCATTTCAGTCTCCAGAACGCTCTTCCCTACATTCAGACTATTTCGCATCAGCGGTTTCCCTTGTACCTCCTGTTGCTCAGGTGACCCCTGCAATATTTCAGACATTTCGAGTCTCCTTCTGCCTTAGCGACAGACTAAATTACATCCACTTTTGGCTCGTCATCTTTATCCTCATCTCGATAGCTCCAGGCTTGAAGTGCATTCAATTGTAAAGTGTGCTTTACTTTTTTCCACTTCTACTAACTTTTTTTTAATTTTCCTTTTTCTATTTTCAGTTATCTGTGCACTAAACTGCGCGCATATACTTAGGTGCACATTTGATGTATACATGTTTGAAGAGGGCTTTTCAGATCACTTCCGTCGGGAGACGATGATAGCATGTTCCTGTGTTGTTTTTTTACTTTGCTCTTGTTTTGATTTAATTCCCCTAAGTACGTGGATTCATTTGAATTTGCATAAATTTGTCCTCATTTGGTAACTAATTTGACCGCCCTTTTCACTTCTCGTTCATCTTTAATCGTTCACTTTTAGAACTAGGCTTACTTTATTCACGTTTGCTCTGCAACGAAGCTGATGCAAGTAATAAAAGCATTTATATGAGATAAATTCACTCTATTTTGTTTATGATTATGAAAGACTGACAGCTGAATTTTATCACAATCATATGAATTGGGTCTTACATTTTCAGTGAATTCGACATATCCTTGCTTCCCAAAAAGAATTCTCATCCAGTCAGAAGTGAATTGCACTTTCCTCCTTGCCTTGGTCTCCTAGGCCTTCCCAGCGGGACTCGAACCCGGGTTGCTGCAGTTCAGCTTATAGTCTTGACACGCTAGCAACCACGCCATACTGCTAAGAGTCGGTCACAGGGCAGATTTGAATTTCAAGGAAGGCCATGCATTTTCCCACATCACATTCTGTGATGGGATTGTCGATGAAGCAATGTTGTATTTGCTATAGTATTGTTACTTATTTTCCGTTTATAAGTAGTCTTTCGAGACTGCCAGTAGATCATATATGTCAGATATATTCATCCTATTTTGTTATATATATATATATATA